ATGCAGTCATAAATCTCATGAATACTTGAGGGGATTCAGAGAAATTTGGCTCGTTTACAAGTGCATTATAACATAAGCAGCAACAAAGCAATGAATGCGAGACATCAGTCAGGCATTCAGGTGGAGATGTTATCGAGCAAAGCGGAATAATCAATTTCCATCCATATGATAAGGAGTTTAAAATACATACAGAAGGAAGCGTGTAGTAAGAGAACACCTCGGCTAAAGACCAACTCAGGTTGTGGCAGCAAAATACCGCAGGACAAACCAAACTGGGTGAAATCCACTCGCACTGCTGACCTAGCATGTCTGCCCTTTCTCCTGGAGGTTGAAGACCACTGCCCTGAGGTTGCTGAAATCGATGGATCACATGACTCAGAGCGTGTGAAAGAGGTTAACCGCTCAACCCGCGGATAATTATCGCTTGTCGTTGCTACTTTTCCTTCCTGTGGGCTGTTTTCATCGAGGAAGCCCTCAAACGCCACCTGCACCACCCGGCAGACAAAAGCAACCACTAGCAACATGCAAAGAAGAGAACCGGGTATATTAGATTTAATACCATGTGACCACAAACACGGGTCCAAACGACATGTTATGCTGCTGCGTATAAAGGGCTCGATGTGAAAATAAGCATTAGCTAAAAAGTTTAAACGTTTTAACATGAAAGCGGCAGCAAAAACTTCAACAAACCAGGCGCTGAGATCTAACAAGGAGTTGTAGGTCTTTTGCCTTCGTCCAACATCCAGATATCACATTAACAGCTACCACACCAGTTGACCCCGCCATGCTTTAATGAATAACTCCCACACTTGAAGAGCTCCTGCAACAGCAGGAGACCATACATTCATCACACACGTCTTATAGAATAATGACGAGCTTCATCTTTATTTAGAAGCATGTTCTCTAATAAAGCGACAAAATATCAAAGGTGGTGATATGAAAAAGAAAAAGATGCTAAACCTCATTAAGCACCTACTCATTACACAATGCGTTAAATCGCAGAGAAAGAAAGGAGAACCAAAAAAAAGACCACTCTCTGAAACGACTCAGCGCATCATCTTGTCTTTCCCACTGGCACCTTGGCCTGATTAATTATCTTCCATCAATTAAAGGAGCAATTATATTCCAAGCTCTTTCGTATGGTAATGAGTCAACTCTGGGATGGGGGAGGAAATGTGTAATGGCCACCAAATGGGGCTGGCAGGCGCTATTCCCTGCAGAATAGAGACGCGAGAGAGGCAGTGGTGTCACATTGCACTGAAGATGTAAACTGCTTTTATTTGGATTAACTAGAACAGAGAGAGCCTGTTAACATTTCAGAGTTCACCAAATGAATTCTCACTGTGAACGCTTTAATACTGAGTCCGTGTTTGAAGTTCCCTAAACTCGTTCAGCTGTCTGTTCTCCTCAGCTAAGCTAAAGTCATTTAGCTGCCCCTTGACAACAATAGACTGAGGTGTAAAGAATCGATACGTTTCAGCTTCCACAGCATTCATCATGGTGACAGGATTGCATATATTATAGGTAAAGACATCCAGGAAGTGCCAAGCCAGGACACTAAAAATAATCAATGCTTCCAATATTAGAAAGAGAGCAGACAAAAGTTTATCCAAAAGCCAGTAAAGCTAGTTGCTACACTTAGTAGAATAGAGCGTAGTGTTCCACGTTACCAGGACTTGCACCATTAAGTTTCATCCATATCCATTTTTCATTTGTATATCTTCTATTATTTAAAAGAAGAGAATATCAAAACATCATTGGGGATCAAAGATTAGAGGTGTTGACATAATGTATCCAGACACATTTTCTAGTTAATGAAATCTGATCACGGGCTTCTTCGTTTGTAATAATACGCGTTCCCGTTATCTAGTTTCTGTCCGCAGTGCTGCAGGTAATTAGAATCCCGATATGCAAATGAGAGCGCCGCAGCCGGCTCACTCGTCAACAAACAGGATGCGTCCGAGGTCAAAGGAAGCCCACGGCCTCAGGTGAGGATAAAAACAGACTTCCACTTCTCTATTTGGATGAAAACCAGCGATCTGATCATAATCTAAGTGCAACGCGTTCTGCATCTACACCCTGCAGCAACACCAGGAATCACGACGCGGAGCACATGGAAATATCAAATGTGAGCAGGTCACCTGTATAACGAGATAAAAAATGCAAACGCTATGACTGTGCATTTCTAATTGGATTCAATAAACAAGGTGTTGCCGAGTTTGCACCTAGACTATCGCGAGCCTCCACCACTCTGTGTAAAGGCCACGAGCAGCCGTGTTCTCTATTTAAACGTCATGTTCTAAACTTATCCACTTCTTCAACTCCGTCTTTATTCGCAGAAAAAATCGCCTCTAGCTTACAAACGTACAAGAGGAAACACACATCAGGGGAAATGTTCACATCATCCAGGAGCCGCGGTAGAGCTGAGGAAGCCAAATAGTTCTTTTCATTTCCCACAAGGCGACTCGCAGTGCAATAATATTCACTGGCAGGCAAGACACTAATGTGGAATCTAACAAGCAGACGTCGTCCAATCCACCATTTGGTTAAAGCAGCAAGTCGGAAATTGCACGTTGAGGTATACTTCCCCGATTGTTTTCGACCTCTCATTCTGGTTATTTACTTTCCTCAACGCCTGCTGGTCCACAACAAGAGAAGCAGGTTAACAGCGTCGGTCTCGGCTCATTAGCTACACCGACACTCTATCTTACACACCAAAGTTGCGGGTCTCCTGAAAACCCACTTCATCACCGCTCCTTCAGCACACCGTGTTTAATCTGGGACATCAAACGCTGCAAAGAAGTCATGAAAACGCACATCTGATTTCAAAACCAACGGCGCTTCCAGATACCCAGCGAGGGAGCTCATTAGGATTTTAGTGGTGCTCATTATAATCACGTGGAATCTGACCTTTTTTGTCCCCGGTGCACTGCTGTGAGAAGACCTGCAGGCTGTTGATAACGAGGGGAGCGACGCAGGTTGTGACGGCGGATTGTATTCATCTGTGGGAGGTTTGGGATAATATAACATGAAGGTTCGCGTATATCTGCGTAGCAAAGGTCGGGTCTGAACCACGATGCTCAATGTGGCATTTAAAGAATTGTAATGTGTATCTATCAGGTTTCAAACAAACACAATTAGAAAATATGTGAACATTAACAAACCTACTTTATACATTGTTTTCTACCCCACAACGACTTCCTTTACTTGTCCACCAGGAATAAACACAATTTCACACTCATTCTCACTTTCCTTTGAAGAAATGGTTGACAATTTCCTAAAGAACTGAACCTAAGAATGCTTGTTATCATGATCAATAGTCAAAATTAGATTAACTTGAAAGTTTTGCACAAAGAGGCATATTGATTATTTCATCTAGTGGAGGAATCATTTTTGGCAGAATGCTAATCAGTGAGGAGTTCATGAAATCTTGGTCTTGACACAGAGCTCATCGCTGGAACAAATCCCCCTTCCTAATGTGGAACGCGGCGTGTTTCATGTTTCGATGGAGCAGCGGCGGGATGCAGCAGTAGAAAACAGATCAAACGAAGCAGGTCGTTAGCACGATCAGTGCAGCCACCGCGAAAGCACAACAGGAAAAAAAAAATACCACGTACGAAAACTTAAAACTTCTTCAATCCGAGACCGTCCATAAATAAATAAAATGGAGACCTCAGAGGAGAGCAATTGTGCCTAAAAAGAAAAAGAAACCAGGCCAGAAGCAGATTGAACAGCGGTATGGCTCTCCAAGAGAGAACAATGAGTAACACTTTGTACCTCACTGTGCAACTTGCAACCTGGAGGCAATATTGTATCTCGTAAAAGCCAAGTTGGGTCTTTGCATCCTAAAAGGTACATTTAAGTGCAGCGGTAAAACGGTGTCTCCTACAAAGGTATCGCCATCTATAACTGTCATTTTCTCAAGTTAAAGCAGAATCAATCCCGATATTTCACAAATATTTTAACTTCAATCAAAGCAATAGGTGAACCTGACGCCATCCATCCTCGTCTTTAGTGCGCAGAGGTTGTGAGAGCCAGAGGGGGCAGGGTGCATCCTGGGAAGGTTAAACGGCTAAACACAGCTACAGGCGGACTGGATGGGGGAGTAAACCCAGACGGACACAGCTGGATTTCTTTAAAAGAATTAAATTAAAAACTAGAAATGCCACGGCCCACTCAGTCATCATCTTTTGCTACCTGCGTCTCGAAAGAAGACAGAGAGATTAAGACCGGTCCCCGATGACGACACTTTGAGGCTGGCGAGAACATGATTTATGACTTGGCGCTCCGCCTCGCTGGAGTCCGTCTTTGTTTCTTTAAAGGGGCCGTGAAGTGCAATCAAGTTGAAACGGAGCGAAGAATATGACTTATGAACGAGACTCCTTTAATTCTTATTAATTCAAGTCAATGTTACGGGTTTCTGTTCAGCAATCACAATCTTGAAAAGGAGCATTTGAACATCATTCGGGAATCACATCAAAAAAAGCCAAGGATAATTAAGTTATATGTTTTGAGTTCTCCCTATCGGCGGCGTGCTGCAGTGTCAGTGGCCAGCGGTCGGTCACCCGCTTTAAGTCCGGGCTTAAATATTTCAACGGCCTTGGGAAAAAGTGCTGAGGTGGCCGGTGCTTGAGGGGAATTCCACTACTTAGCAATTAAAGCGGCCCTGAAGTCCGAGAGAGACGGTGGTGCTATTGACAATGAGGCAAAAGGGTGCATGGATCAGCTTTAAAAAGCTCCATTTTGTTTTCAAATCACAGGGTAAAAAAGAAAAAGAAAAAAGAAAACATGCAACAATGAGAATATTCTCATGTGGAAAAACTTTTGTTTACAAAATTCTTTCAATATGACAATATTATTTCCTTTATTCTGTCCCAAGCACTGCAGCCCGTCAGGCTCTCTGTATTTAGCTTAAACATCTCAAGAAAAGCAGCAGAGAGGACTCTTCGATCAAAGGATGTGCAGCAGTGAGTAAACAGAGAAAAAAAAAAGCTCCTTACCCGTGACGGACAGCTCGGTCGTCCTCCACACCACGAAGTTCCCAAACTGTAACTCGCATGTGTAATTCCCAATGTCGTCTTCCCGTACTTCCTTGATGGACAGAGTGTCCCTCCTCCTTTCTATGGTTTGTCTCCACTGCTTTGGCTTGCATTCCTGTATTTCACAAACGCAGGGGGGGGGGCAGAATGTTAGAGTGTCAGTGTTGGCTTACAAGTGTGCCTCCTTTTGGAAATCAGCAGGAAACAGACCTTTTCTTGACATGAGTCTTTGTATTTTGCCTCAGCCCTAAGTATGTTAAGGCTTTGTCTACTGAGAGCCTTCGGCTACTAAACCTGCTGTCATAAAGAACTGAAACAGCACTGCACACGGTGACACAGTAACTTTAGGCCACCTGATCCAGCACACTATGTTCTTTGTAAATCAGCACACATGACTTTGGCGATTGGCTCCATCAAAGTGGCCTCTTGGAGGCAGGAGGCCGGACCGGGCTGCGTTGAAGTTCCAGTCCAAATGGAGGAAATGAGAGACGTGCATGTGCCAGATTTATTTCTGTCGGTTATATATTTATCACGCTCATGCTTTCAGTTTTAGAAGTCGAGAGGAGATTTTATTTGAAGCTAATTGGATCTGAATATAGCTGACCTGGACCTGGTTATCTTTTAGATGTGTAAAATAACAAATAATAACCCGTGAAGTAGCTTTTTAATTTGAATTGAAAGAATCCCTTTCAGATGATGGGTTTTCAGGTGACACAGCTCGTTGTTTCAGCAGCATCTTAAACGTTCTCCACTCAAATGAAAGGACATGGTTGTTTGTGCAAACTGCGAATCCAAAGGGTGCATCTCACCTTGTACCACACGATCTCAGGCCCCGCTGCGGGCTGCAGGTAATCCTCAATGCCTGGGCATGTGATGTCTTTGCTTTTGCTTAGTTCGGCCTTTTCAAAGAACCTCATTTTGGAGTTGTAGCAAAGGTCTGTGTCGTTCTCCGCCACTGTGAGAGACATGGACACCTTCATGCAGTATGTGGAGTTCCTGCAAAAAAGAAAAAAGAGTTTACCAATCGGCTGGAGAAAGAAGTTCAAATCGTATTAAAACCGTGTGAGATACAACATACAAAGTATGACTACCCACTTCTATAAAATATGAATGGGAATGAATTATATATCTATACGTGCAGGGTACGGGCGGTAATACGGAGCGACAGCCTTGAATGTCAACAGGCCCTGGAGATTGATTGACCCTTTACTTTTCACGTGTTGCAGTGCGCGCTAGCAGAAAATGACTTGCTACAATTGATGCACAGTAACTGCTCAGGTCATATACATAAAGGGGAGAATTTATAAGGCAAGGTAAAGGGTGCGTAAAATGCAAGATTACTTGTAATATTTGAAGACTATGTGCCTGCCGGCGCTCAGATACGGGAGAGCATTCGTCCACGGCGGGATAAATATTTCACTTTATGGCTCGGTACGGCAGCGCGCCTTCGGTGATTTAAAATACAAAACCAATCTGGGTTGAGTGTTTGCATGTGTATACCCAAGAACTCGTAGGGAACCTGATCAGATCTACATTTCCGTCTTGGAGAGCGATGCTTTAGGGCCACACACACACACACACACACACACACACACACACACACACACACAGAGGTAAAGATACAGCTCCTTGGCATTAACAGTTATCCTGTTTGGGTCATTACTGGGACAGCGGTTTTGAGATTGTATCTGCTTCTTGAGTCATTCTTCACAGAACATGGGAGTCAATGAAAACTTTGATTCACTGGTGGGACCTCGTGCAGAAGGGGAAAAGAAGCAAAGGTGTGTGAGGATCGATGAATTCAATAAGAGCCCCTTGTCGATGCTCAAAGTGGCTTGTGAGACTGTCACGATTAACAGAAAATCCCCCCTAGTTAAAAGGCCCCCAAAAATTGGCAGTGTTGAGGAAAATCTCACTGCTAATTTTCCAACAAAAGCGGGCTACACAAATTGAGCTGAACCAACAAACAATTACAAACGTGTTAAATCCTTACATAATGGAGCGGCATTAGCAGCCTCGCGGATTAGTACAACACACACTGGTCTTAGTCGGCAAACAACCCCCCCCCCACAACGCCCCCTCGGACCGGCTACTCTCCGCTTACAGTGGACGGGCAGTTTCCATGGGGCGCGGATGCAAATGGGACACGATGGAGATTATCCCAAACAACTTCTACCAGATGGACACCTGCGCAAATGAGATGCCCACAGGTGCGCTTTCCTCCCTGCTAAACATTCTGGGCAGCGCTGATATCACACTGGGAGAGAGAGAGAGAGATTTGTGTCTCTCGGCGGTGATGGAGGGTGTCGGCCAGCACTTTGTCCAACGACGTCTTTCCAGCACGGCGCATCCGAGGCCGTCACGTGAGCCCGAAGAGGAGCCAAAGTGATCCCGACTATTCGCCCGGAGCAGGTTCGCTGCTCATGATACTCGCGCGACCTATCCAGAGATCTGAGCAGACAAAAACGGTCCTGCTGGCGCCCATCCAGGGGGGTCTCGGCGCTGTGCTACAAGCCGAGGTGAGCCAGCGTACGGCCGTGTCCGTCAAACTGACGGGGCAGTGCAAAGTCGTGGCGATGATAGATAGCATCCTGCGCACATCAGCTGACAGGCCGGGGGAGAGGGGGAGAGGAGGGGTGGGGGAGGTAGAGGACGAGGAGGGAAACGATGTGCGACGGTCAGTTTGGAGTTGAGCAGCCCGCCGAGAGGATTATGATCCGCACGCTGTGGGGAAAACACGGCAGTCACTCACGCTACAAGATAATCGCGGGATTTAGCGGCGGTTAAATCCACGGGTTAATTTATAGATTTCTGCTGGAAACCCTCCGAACAAAACCCCAATATGAAAATTGTGAGAATCTGCCCCAGCAGAGGATGAAACCAGACGGAACCTGCCCTTTAATCAGCGACTGTTACATAATCCGATATTAAATAATAGGCGGCAGAATTGATTCCAAATCCTCCTGAGGATCCATGGCACCTGTGGGGAAATGAATGAAGTAAATTAATGAATCTTTTAATTAAAATAAGCTCCTCTCTAATATAAAGTGGATGATGAAATACTTGCTGATTATTCATCAGAGCTTACATTCAACTAATAATGGCGTTCTGAGATTTTTCCCGGCACGTGGCGAGCGGTCTAAAGGTTGATTAAAGGTTAGTTCGACACAAGCAAAACAAACCCACCACGAATATTAACACTGACGAAATTACAGTGATTTAGTGTGTGTTCTCTGTGTCTCCGACCAACACCGGGAAACTCTTTACAATAACTTCTGTTTACAAGAGACCTGCGATAGCTGGAAACCACTGAAAAATGTCAATAGCCGCGTATATTAAACGGCTGCATTCCAAATACCTCATTGGCTTAAATGGCTTTTTTGGTCCAAACCGGCATGTCCTCAATCACTGCAGCTTTATTTAAATGTCACACAAATATGCCCACTGTAATCAGGTTCACTAGTGATGTATGCAAACTAGATGTGTGTATGTACTTGTGTGTGTGTGCGCGCATCTACAGTTACAGCACCTTAATGAAATAGATTATTCTAGACTTAAAGGCCAGAGGTCTGTGTGTCAGAAAGGACCTTAATCCAATCATTTATATGATGGTCAAATATTTTATATGAAGCCACGTGGTAATAGAAATCGTTTATGGACAAGGCCGGAGCTGCAGCCCAAAACCTCGATTGTTTTCCTCCACCAGGAGTCATTCAGTACTCATGTGTAGCGAAAGCTACATGGAATCACATCGACGAGTACACGAGCGACTTCACCCGTTCATTTTGCTGTCACTTGCGTCAGCATATACCTGAGCGCAGATCACTTATGCCCACCGGGCCGACGTCAGGATGTGAAGGGCGATCTTTGCACGGCGCACACGTGGTTCCTGTTAATGCCGCCTGGCAGGATCGGATCAGACGGAGACAGACGTTGCAATGCGTTTGGACGGGAACAGCGTCCGATCAGCATCAAGCAGGCAAAAGAGTACTAGGTCAGAAAAGCGTGTGCATTACATCAGCACCAGGCACAAAAGGCCCGGCCCACTTATCCTAAATCAGTATTATACGGTCGCTGCATTATTGATGCACCAGAGCGAAGGTCACAGTAAGCAGCGGGAAGGCCGGGGCTACTACCTGTAGCGGCCCGCTCATAACTCACCTGTCTACACTTGCACCCGGCCCGGGATGATTAAGCTCCCCGGCTCCCCAAATCTGACGGTGGGCCAACTTGCTTCTACTTAGCCTCTCTCGGAGTTTACTGTGGCACTCGTCTTCCGCGGTGGAACGAGCGACTCCTGCCTCAATTATAATCCATCCACCCCCCCTCTACTCGTGGCTTTCCTCCGTCCTCGCTTCAACCCGGGGGACACACACGTGTCTGTGGATGATTTGGGTTTTTGGCAGGCTGTGAAAAACACACGCCTGCACCGGTCTTCACACTCTTCACCGAATACACGAGATTCACAGCCGCACAAATTAAAGCAGAGGAATGTCATGCTCTTATTTTAATGTCTCTGTCGGATTTCCAGGTTGTGATTACTGGTTAAAAAAAAAAAAAATCTACTTTAAGATGTAGGAAATTACATTGATATAGTAGTGATCTGTGCGTCTCGTTGGGTTATTTAGTAGCGTTGTGGAAGGAAAAATCAAACAGTTAATAAAATGTCCATGTCATACGTGGGCTTCTTTTAGACCCCGAAGACCTGAACATGGTTACATCTTCAGCCCCAGTTTTGCTTATGTTTTACTACTTCATCAGTCACAGAAAGAAGCATCTGTTGTTCTGAAAAACAAATAACTCTAAATCTTTGAAGGCATTTATTCAACACCGGAATACTGAAATTGGCTTTGCATGAAAACAGGTTATTTTTAGGACAATAAGAACATGAATCAGTAAAGTTCAGTTTTCTATTGCAGCAAACAATATTTGTTCAACCAGATGGTGCGCTGAGGACCATCTGGGTTTTTCAAAGATGTGTGTGTTTATTTTTCAGGAAAAAGTTGCTGTTAAGCTTTGTGAATTAAGTTTAATGGTAATGCATGAAAGGGAACATATGTAGAGACTTAAAAGACACTGATGCGAAAATGTTTTAATGCAGTGAATTGTATTGGAAATGATCACAGCTTTAAAAATACTGCTTACGTGAACCAAAGGCCTTGTTTTTCAACAAGTCTGAGAATTTCTTCAAGCCTTCCCTCGAGTTGTGTGTCTCAAACCAACAATAGCGCTTCCTGTGAGCCAACGCATTAGTTTTTTTCTAGTCGATGCCTCCAGGGAACTTTTTTCCATTCCACAACATCCGCCACTCGTCTTTATGCGAGCAACCTGATTTCATAACAAGCATCAACAATTTGTCCCCATTGTATTCTCTTCTCACTCCGTCGTGACCTCATTCATTGGTCTGCCCCCCCCCCCGCCCCCCCGGGTGTGATGTACAGACGGCGAATGTGCACATCCACATTCAAACGTCTCTTACCACAAGTGCTGCCACGTAAACGGGTCTGGCCTCACATCCCAGGCAAGATTGGAATTTTGCCACAGTTTGACTGAGAGCAGCGGTTTTACCGATGTCTAGCTGGGAGGTTTTTTTTTACCAAAGTGATTGTGCTTGGCGAATGGTATTTCTGACATTTGTCAGGGAGATAAAAAACCCCATCAGATATGAGGAAGAGAAGGTCAGTGTCCCTGCAATCAGACAGCGATTGTTTGGCGGCCTGTTTGAGGACCTGCTCCAGGAGAGCCGAGAGCTGGCCGTGTGGGGAGTCAACAGCGAGGGCGGGACTTAATAAAATCCCTCATTGGACATGTGGAATGATTTTGCTTGTGTGTCATTTTGCACTCCGGGGCATGTTAGAATATTGAACGGAAATGACTAAAACCTCTCTGTGTATTGCATGTGTCGAGGATTAACAGATAATCCTGAGAATAAATAAATACAAATTGTCCATGGACTATGACCTTCTGCTCAATCGTCCTGGTTAGTCATGCAGCTT